CATTTGTCGAAGTTCCATGCCTGAGGCTGGCAGACAGACTACGCGACTTGCCATGACTTGGCTGACAGGAACACCGAACGTATGTTCTTCTTTGCTGTCGAGGAATGGGTAGCCGTTTAAGTAAATCATGCGGTCTGCGATTCCGCCATGGCCGAAACGTTCACTGACCGCTTTCGTGACGCCAACGACTATCATAGTGGGAAGGATGTATGTTAGTGCGCCGGTAATCTCGAACATGATGACTACGACGCTGACGGTGATGTGCATTATGCCACTCAATGCCGCCGCTGCACCAAGGAAGGCGTAGGTGCCAGGCGTAATACATGGTCCATCTGGGTCGCAGGCTGAGAAAAAGGCTGAGCCAGGGAAAGACTCGTGCAAAGCCTGGACGCAGATGCCGACCATACGACCGAATGCTGCACCAATAGCCATACTAGGCACAAAGATACCAGCCGGCACTTTGCACCCGAACGAGATGACGACCAACAGCGTACGTAGCACTGTGGCAATAGCAAGTGTCGTGACATTGTGCCAGCGTTGATTCGCGTCACAAAGCTGGTCGTAGTCCTTGTCGCCCTCACACTCTTGAAACAGTATCTCCATACTCTCAGTCATATCGATCCTCAAGAACATGTTCGGGTAGCAAATCACACCGGTGATGACAGCGAGAGTGATAGCTTCTGTGATGGGGTATGCAGAAAGGTACTTCTTGCGAAATACCTGCATCTTGAGGTTCCACTTGATGACGAAAGCGCCGTAGAGACCACCAAAGACACCAATGATGATATAGAAGAGGGTTTCGAAAAAGTGCCAGGAGCGGTCGTAGGAGACGTTGAACATGACAAGCTGACCTGTTCGGAAGGGGTTCATGGCCTGGCGCAAATTAGCATAGAAGTCCAGTATCTCCGGTTGTTGAACATACGGCAAGAACAGCTGTAGCGACCAGCGCACAGAAGTAGCTCCGCCAGAGGGTCTTGAGTGGAAACTGGTTGCTCATCTCCTCCAGCGAGAAAAGCACGCCTCCAATCGGACTTCCAAAAGCCACCCCTACACCGGCCGCTGCGCTCGCACATAGTATCTCCCTCGTCTTGGCCGCATTCCTCCTGTACTTATCGAAGAACCTACTGATCACATTTCCCGTACAGACAGCGTAATGCACACTAGGCCCTTCTTTGCCGACCGACAGTCCCGACGCAATAGCAAGCGGCAAGCCAATCGACTTGATGAAGAGCGTAGTAAAGCCTAGGAAGCCTTTCATGACGAACCCCGCAATGATGCACTTCATCTCCGATATGCCCGATCCAGCTGCATACGGCGCGAAGCTCTTGACCAGTCTGGCGGCCGTGAAGGAGAACAGCGCTGCGAAGAGTATGTAGAGTACATAGTTCACAGGCCAGAACCCACTCCAGCGCTTCCACTCAGGGCAACCTCCCTCAGCACCCCAACAGCAGAAACTCTCATTGAGGTAGAAAGCCGTGGTGCAATGTCCCAGCTTGATATCGCTAAGCCACTCTGTCACGATATTCAGAAATGCAGCGTTGAGTCCTATCGCTGCGCCGACAAGCGTGACAACAATCCACGCTTGGCCCGCATCATATGCCTCTGCGATCTTCCTCCTCCACTTGCCTCGTCCCCGGCCTAAGAAGACTTTACCCGTCCGCCCATCTTTTCGCACGCCGATGTTGTCTCTTTCGCGCCGGCGCGCTTTGCGTCGAAGTTGTTCGCGGGCGGCGTCTTGTACCCAGTCTATAGTTGTAAAGTCCTCGTACCGCTTTATCTCGGCTATCTCTTCGACGATGGCCGCGTCGGCGTGTGTGGTTTCCGCGGCTTCGGGGTCGTCATTATCGATGTCAAGCGACAATATCGATTGGCCCGTTGTGCGCCGTCGGAGAGAAGGCGCGAAGGATGTGGAGCGTGAGGTTTGGCTGGGGCGCGAGGATGGGCGACGCGTGGAACTGGGGCGGAGGGGTGCGGGTTGTTGTGAGGATTGGCGAGCGCGTGAGCCCGAGGATGAGGATCGATTCATCGCATCGTTATAATTGTTGATAACTTCGCCTGGCACAGCGTGAAGTATTCTGGTTTCGAGATTTGGATGGGTTGCGTAACTGGGGAGCTCTCTCATGCAAGGGTCCCTTCCGTCCCAGCTCCAGATCGACGTCTCGCCCGCGGGAGTCCGCCCATTGCACCGCCACACTCATCGCATACAAGGGTAAAACCGAATACACTGGAGCCTACATGAATATAAAAACATGCAAAGTGGGTGACCAAACGTCAAAGTAGGCTCCGGGGTACAAAAGTAAGTTCGGGGTATGCGCGTGGATCTGCACCGGACTCTTGCTACGTTTTGCGTGTTTGGCATCCATCACCTATCTTGCACAGAAATTCACACCTCAACACCACGAAGTGCGGTTAAGCTCACGTTCGCCTAAAGGGATATATGTGATAGCCTGGAGGATACAATGCGGTTGGAATCTACGAATTGCTACCGTAGCGTGCAACGTATACTTCTAGGATACCCGTGGACTCGTTGAAATGTGACATTCCAAGCTTGTTCATCATAACAATTCCCACACAGCAATCTGGCAGCACTTCGGTATCGAATTGAAATGTTGTATTGTGCTTCATCTTGCTTCATACGGGGTATCAAATGTCTAAAAACCTTTTTGCTAAAATCATGTTTGCCGACTACATCTACTTTGCGCGCCCACACTCGCGACCGCCACACGGCATGTCTACTCCATCTCGATAGTTCCCGGAGGCTTGCTGGTGACTAGGGTTGTTAGTAGTTGCCTCGCTCACTGAAATTATCGACTTACTGTCATATACCACGCGGCAAACTCCGTTCACCTCATTCACGATCCTCCTGCTAACCCGCTTTAGGAACTCTCCATCGAAGGGGAACCAATCAGCCGTCATGAAGTCACTCGTCTCAACTGCCCTCAGAGCAATAACCTGCTCGTGAACGCGCTTATCGCCCATGACACCGACGGCCCTAACGGGCATGAGCGCTGCAAACGCCTGGCTGATCTTGTTGTATAGGCCCGCAGCCCTGATCTCTTCGATGAAGATGTAATCCGCTTCACGCGCGATACGAACTTGCTCCCGTGTGACTTCACCCAGAATGCGGATGGCGATTCCTGGGCCGGGGAAGGGGTGGCGCCAAACAAGATCTTCTGGAATACCAAGCTCTTTGCCCAGCGCGCGGACTTCGTCTTTGAACAACTCGCGGAGAGGCTCGATCACCTTGAGCTTCATGTCTTTTGGCAGACCACCGACGTTGTGGTGGGTCTTGATAGTCTGGGAAGGACCTTTGAAGGACAGCGACTCGATGACATCGGGGTACAGGGTACCCTGAAGAAGCCACTCGACCTCACCAGCGTTGGAAGATTCATGCGCTTCGGCCTTGATCTTATCGGCCTGCTTTTGGAAGACCTCGATGAAGGTGTTTCCAATGATCTTGCGCTTCTTTTCGGGGTCATCGGTCACACCCTTCAGGCGGTCGAGGAAGAGATCGGATGCGTCGACGACGGTAAGGTTGATACCCAGGCCCTCATCGAGTGTCTTCTTAACCTGAACGGCCTCGTTGAGTCGGAGGACGCCATTGTCGACCATGACGGCGTGGAAGCGGTCGCCGATAGCCTCCTTCATCAGCTTTGCAGCGACAGTCGAATCGACTCCACCGCTAACGGCACCGATGACCTGTCCCTTGTCGCCCACCAGCTTCCTGATGCGTATGATCTCTTGGTCGACGAATTTGCTCATGGTCCAGTTGGTGTTGGCCTCGCAAATGTCGACAGCGAAGTTCTTGAGCACAACCTTGCCCTGCTTGGTGTGTGTGACCTCGGGGTGGAATTGGATACCGTAGTACTTCTTCGTCTTGTGCGCAATGCCCGCGAACGGCGCATTGGTGGTTTTCGCGACCGTCATGAAGTCCTGAGGCATGTTGCTCAGCTTGTCGCCGTGGCTCATCCAGACCTCCAGGTCGTTGCCCAAGTCCTTGAACAGCTGGTCCATGTGTCCGCCGTGGCTCTCAACCTTCAAGTTGGCGTGACCGTATTCCCTCTTCTCGCCAGCTACTACGCCGGCGTTCTTTCCGAAGTGCCATGCCATCTCTTGCAGACCGTAGCAGATTCCGAGGATCGGTACGCCGAGATCGAAGACGGCGTGGTCGACGTGTGGAGCGCCTTCCTCGTAGACGGAGTATGGGCCACCAGAGAGAATGACTCCCTTTGGGGTGAAGGGCAGATCGGCGATCTTGGTAGTGCATGGCAGCATCTCACAGTATACATTGAATTCGCGGAGACGGCGAGTGATCAGATGCGTGTACTGCGAGCCGAAGTCGAGCACCAGGATGGTGTCGAACGTCTTGTGGGGAGGGATCGGATCGGAGTTGTCGGTCGCCATCTTGAAGTACTAAGAGTGTGATGAAAGTGAAAAAGCGAGGGGATAGAAGGAAAGAAAGAAGAAGAAAGGAAAGGGACGGGTATATGAAAGCAGAAGGTACGAGGGGCTCGGTCACTGACTCTCACAAAGTTTTGGCGGGGTTTTCCAGAAAAATTCTTATCGATAACAGAAAATTGCTATCTCGTGCTTCATCGTCCATGGTAACGCGCAGGCAGCACAGACTGTCGCCTGGGCTCATATATCACTCTGATGTATACATTACCGAAAAATCGCGAGAAGAGGTCATATGAACCGCATTGTAGACGTCTAGCTTAAAATTTCCCCGCATGAGGTACAACTCAGGTGACGCAAGCATCCTTGTATAACCACTCTACGCGTATCGAAGAAGTCTCCAATTAGTCGATCTTCGCATATGCGTCCTAGTACGATCTCATAACAGCCTTGGAAACGGACTGGCTCTGTGGCTGACCGTGCCTGTCCTGGGCCCCGCCCAAAAATTCATTCCATTATCGATAACGACGTAGTTGGATCGCGCAAAGTCGCGTCTGTCCAGTGACCTCACCCACCCAGCTCCCTACCAATCGCATACCCACACAATGGCGAAACGAAAGTCAGAGAGAGATCCCGAAGAGTTGCCCGATGCGTCGGACAAGCGCAAGCAGAACGATGACGACGAGTCCGGCAGCGACGAGGTATGCGCCTTCCTCACAACCTCTCATAATGCGCCGTCTCACAAAATTGCTAGGACATGGACATGGTGAACGTCGACTTTGAATGGTTCGATCCGCAACCCGCAGTCGATTTCCACGGGATCAAGAACCTCTTGCGCCAACTTCTAGACGTGGATTCGCAGTTGTTCAATCTCTCTGAACTCGCCGACATTATACTGTCGCAACCGCTACTTGGCAGTACGGTCAAGGTTGACGGCAATGAGACGGATCCATATGCCTTTCTTACTGTGTTAAACCTGGAGACACACAAGGTACTATATCTTTATCGAAAACCTCAGGATATGCGGTTACTAACAGCAACCAGGACAAGAAAGTGATCCGAGACCTGACAACCTACCTCTCCAAAAAGTCCGCGCCGATCCCCACTCTCCCGCCCCTACTAACACCGTCGTCGCCTGCGCAAATCGGCCTCATTCTAACCGAGCGCTTCATAAACATGCCGCACGAAATTGTCCCACCAATGTACACGATGCTTCTGGAAGAGATACAATGGGCGGTTGAGGAGAAGGAGCCTTACACATTCACCCACTACCTCGTCCTGTCGAAATGCTACTCGGAGATACAGAGTCAATTGCCGAGTGAAGATGCGCCACCGAGCAAGAAGAAGAACAAGAAGGCCGATGTGGGTGAGGAGACATTTTATTTCCATCCCGAAGACGAGGTGCTGCACAAGCATGCGGTGGGATACACAAGCTTTGAGTATGACACACCCGTAGATGAGGGTGCGAGTGATAGCAAGAGGGCGTTCCAGGAGTTGGGTGTCAAGCCCAAGGGACATATGGTGCTGATCGAGGCGGACAAGTTCAAGGGTGCTGTGGAGGCTGTCAAGACGTTCTTGAATGGGCAGTAAATACGCAATGCAAGATGAATTCACCAAACAACGCAACCAAAGAGACGGCGAAGGTTGACTCTAACTGGTGTTACATTGCAAGGGACACAAGCCGAATCTATGTGAATCAAACCGTAGGAAATTGATGCTCGCTCCTATACACACAAGTCGACATCACCGCCATCCATCTCCGCTCAAGAATTGCTCTGCTTAACCAATGACAACCTTGCCGTCCTCGGGGAAGTCGTATGCGGGAATCTCCAGGTTGAGCGGGGCAGGTCCCTTTCTTATGCGGCCAGAGATATCGTAGTGGGATCCGTGGCAGGGGCAGAACCAACCTCCAAAGTCACCGGCCTCACCAATGGGGACACATCCCAGATGGGTGCAGACACCTAGTGCTGTTAGTCCTGGTTCATTGTAAGGATGTGTGCGGTGACGTACCCAACATGATCAACCACTCAGGCTTCTGGACACGGTCGGAGTCGGGCTGGGGGTCACGGAGAGACTGCCACTTGGTGTCGTCGGCCTCCTTGATCTCGCCCTCGGTGCGGTGACGGATGAAGACGGGCTTGCCTCGCCACTTGATAATGACCTGCGCTTATCAGCTCCACTGTCCGGATATGCCGCGTCGAATTGCGAAACGTACGTTCTTGCCCTCGGGAATGGCAGCGAGATCGATCTCTACCTTGGCCTGAGCCAAAACATCGGCGGAGGCGGACATGTTGACGAGGAAGTCTGTTGGGCGGAGTCGTTAGCCGTCCGGTCTTCATCAATTCGCGATCCAAATCATCCCCAAAATAGCCAATTGCTCTTTCCCAGCTCCAAATATGCCATCCACCTTGTTTCCAACGTTTTCCACCCGTCCGTCGAGCTATCGCAATGTTGGAGACCTACCCTGTACAGTCGCCTTCGCGCCAAGCGCACTCAGCGCACCCATGGTTCCGACCATGAAGTACTGGAAGACCTTGGGGCCGGTCTCGCCTCCCTTATTTCTGTATGCGGCGAACGAGGGGATCTTGGTCGAGTCCGGGCTGCCCTTGAAGGGGCTGTCGAACGAGGAAGCCGAGGCGTTGCGGGTCTGCAGAGCGGTGCAGCCGGCCGCCCGAGCGACGGGCATCTGGTGAGCGGTCCATGAGCGTGCAATGGCACGGGTTGTGTTGGCGAGGGCGGGCATCGTGGACGCGGGTGGGCGGGGGTCGTTGTCGTTGATGGGGAGGAGCTTAGGTCGGGAATGTTGAAGTTTTGGCGGTTTGGCAAGGAGCGTTATGTCAGGTGTCGTGTGATTGGCCCATCGCCCTTCCGCGCGACATTCGCCAGATTTGAGCGTCATCGGCGAGCATTACCACAGCACCGCACAGTGGCAGAGTCGATCTTGAATTCATCTCATTAATCATGAACCTAACAGGTCAAACTTTAGTACGAGGATTCTCGTTGTAAAAGCGAACAAACGCGACACTTCAATGTCCTTCTCATAAACCCGCGTTATCTTTTATTTAGGTATCGAACCATCCACTCTTCCTTCCTCGTTCAGCCAAATGATGCACGATAGTAGTCAAGACGGCAGGCGCTCTGGGTAAGCACCCTTGTTTGAATGTCTTGGCGACTGCCTGATTCCATGCGTGCCGCACGCAGCGTATCTCTCTTCGGACACGCGAAAGTCGTCTGGAAACAGTTGCTCCTCTCTCACTTCATTGTTGAATCCACTTTGTATCACTACAAGTAACCTCTCACAAACAACAAAACACACATCATGCCCCCCAAAGACTCTGCCATCACATCCTACTTTGGGCCTAAGATGGAATCTCGCGCCCCAACAAAAGCCAAGGAAGCCACCAAGAAGACGACCGGAAAAGCGACCATGTCACCATCGCCCGAGCCACAAGATAAAGGCAAAGGCAAGAGGGCACTATCAGGATCTCCGGCACCAATACCTGAGAAGCGACGAAACATAAAGCCGGCAGCCAAGCCCACAACATCGCGCCATCTCTCACACAAAGATGTCCCCTCGAACAAGCTCTCCCCATCCCCAAGCTCGTCTGATCTACCTACCCTGACTCTCACTTACCACGCTGGCGACATCTTCGACGCACCCCCACAAACCCTTCTAATCCACGCCTGTAACACTCAAGGTGTATGGGGTTCAGGCATAGCCAAAGCCTTCAAAGACGACTACCCGAAAGCTCATGTCATCTACAGAGACTTCTGCACCAAAGAACACCTACTCAAATCTAGACCGGTACCCACCGGCACCGCCTTGCTTATCCCACCTGTGGATGTCGGGAAGCGGCATTGGATCGGGTGTCTGTTCACTAGTGCAAAGTATGGCAAGGGTAAGGATAAGTCGGATGTTATTGTCGAGAACACGAAGCCCGCTATGGAAATGCTGTTTGAGCTGGTGAAGATGGCGGGAAGGGTTGAGACGGTCAGGATGTGCAAGATCAACAGTGGGGCATTCGGGGTGAAATGGGAGAGGACGGAAGGCGAGCTGGAAGGCATTGTAGTTAGGGAGCGGTGGATGGGGAGTGTGGAAGTTTGGGAACCGGAGATGGGTTAAAAGACTAAAGGGAGCACGAAGTACGTGCATGTGATGCATATTAATCCACGTCAAATGTCCACTTGAGGAAGGTTCGACGTGGACAATCACTTGTACATTTGGCACTATTCTGGTGCAAATCGCATATTTGTAGGCAATGAAGCCATAATGTGATCGGCCTTCCAAACAGCTGAGCGCCATTCCCATGATATCCTTAGCAAACGCCGTTATGCAATGCAAAATGAATCCGCTTCCATACCGTTCTGTCTCTGCCTACAACATCAAGAGCCGATTTACTTTTGACCATTGATCGCAGTAAATCCACCTGTTGACCGCCTAGCCTCTGGGCTCTTGCTTGCACTCGCAGTGGGTTGGCGAGGGGGCCCGCGCATCTCCATCTCGATCTGCATCGCCGCTGCGTCCTCTTCTGGTTCGCTGTCCTCCACGCGCTCGACTTCTTGGTCGACATCCATGGCATCAGGCGTCTCGTCTGGTTGCGCAGGTGTAGGCGATGTCGTTGAAGCGCCGTTGGTGGGTGTCTCGGTGTCCTTGTCCGCACTTTCTGCCGTCTTGGAAGCACCGTCCAGCGTCTTCTGTCCGTTGACCGCGCCATCCTTCTTCCCGTCCTTCTCCTTCTTCTTCGCGTCCTCCTTCTCCTTCTCATCCAACTTCTTCTTCACAGTGCCCCATGTACTTGTCCTGGGCGCAACATCAACCAAGAACTCGAGGTTGTCTGTCTTAGATATCGCGCTGCTCACGTCGCGGTATTGTATGTTGCGGCGCGGCTTACGCTCCGCTTTGACGACATTGTGTGTGGTGGTTGCGAGGTGCTGGATGAACATTTCTGTGGCCAGTGCGATGGCGAAGGCGGCATTTTTGGAGGTCGTGATGCGTTCGGGGTCCGCTTGGATTATCTTTTGCACGCGTGCGACTGTGGAGTGAGTTAGCTTGATTGTCTGCTGCGAGGAAAGACGAGAGTACTGGGGACATAGGGAATTGAAGACATTGCGCTCAACGCAAGCGGAGCCGAACCAGTCGGTCGTTATGAGGCCACCACAGGCGCAAGTCGCAGCAGTACTACACCGTGGTAGGGTGGTCTCCAAGAGGCACGCAAAGGGTCGGAGTGACGACGAAGGTGGTGGAGAGAAGTGAAGATGTGTAAATTGTTACTTACGAGGAAGCGACACATGGCCGGTGATTTCCTTGTTTGGCGCAATCGGAGTGTTGTTGTAGGGCATGGTGAAGGAAGAAGTTGTTGGTCTAGTGAAATGGGCGCTGGATCGATGAGTCCTCCCAGCGTGCTGTTTGAGGCTAGTTGCGAGTCCAAAATATGAATAGCCAAGTATATCTGTGGGTAGTGCGAGTTGACACGTTCCAGTCGCGAAAATTGGCCAAGAGAGGTGTCTAGTCGCGTGCAGTAGTCGTGTTGAAGATGTCGTGTACCCTGGTCGATACAGGGCGATCGCCGCGGGCTGCTCCAGCCGAGGAGGGCGTCATTAGGCTACTCCTCTTCGTCAGCAACCAGCCATCTTATCTTCCTGCTGCCTGCGTGATCCTCAGACGATAAATACGTGTGTGTGATATCTTCGTCCTGTCTTGACTCTACCAATTGTATTCCGGTGTTTTCATCTCGTGTCGAGCAACAATTGTCAACCCATCAGGGTACACCTGCCAACCATGAAGCTCTTCATTACTAGTCTGCTCGCCGCGACTGCAACAGCGTCCTTGTTCTCCCAAATCCCATTCCAGGAGAAGCCAGAAGTGGAAGGCTTCCAGGTCTACCAAAGTCCATTCTCCGAGCACCATTCGATTCGCATAAAGCATCAACAGAGCGACACTATCTGTGACGCGCGCTCCAAGCAATACACCGGCTGGTTAGACATCGGCTCAAAGCACATCTTCTTCTGGTACTTCGAATCACAGGACAAACCCTCCGAAGATCCGCTCCTGCTATGGCTAACAGGAGGACCGGGTGGCTCAGGCATGCTTGGGCTGATGGGCGAACTGGGACCTTGCACGATCAATGAGTTTGGCAACGGTACCGTACACAACGAATACGGATGGAGCAAGAACGCCAACATCATCTTTGTTGATCAGCCCGCTGGTGTGGGTTTCAGCTACGTCGATGAGGGCATCCCGCTTCCTGCGACAAGCTTCACGGCTGCTGAGGATATGCATCACTTCTTGCAGCTGTTCACGAGCGAAGTCTTCCCGGATCTTTTGAATCGCGACTTTCATATCACAGGAGAAAGTTATGCTGTAAGCACATGTTGCTAACCCCGCAAGACACTCACTAATCGAAGATAGGGCCACTACGTTCCAACACTCGGCGCAGAAATTGTCACGAAGAACCTTGAATATCCTAAGCGTCCGCAAGTCAATCTCAAGTCGACCTTCACGGGCAACGCTTTTGTCTCACCTCGGGACACCAACTTTGGTTTCTGGGAAACGCTGTGCACTACGAACCCCGGTGTGGAGACTCCCGTATTCAACCAGACCCGTTGCGACATCATAGCTACCAACCTCCCTCGTTGTATGGCACTTATCGACGTGTGCTACAAGAACCCTGATCCAGCCATCTGTCTCGCAGCCGACAACGTATGCATGGAAGGCGTTGTGCTCCTTTACGATGGAGAGTCTGGAGCAGGAGGTCGCAACAGATTTGATATCACGGATGGGTGCGAGACGAAAGACGAGTTCTGCTACCCAGAGATCCAAAGGATACAAGACTACATGAACGTGCCGAAGGTTTGGGAAGCGCTTGGCGTACCCAAAGCTATAGCCAACTACACAGGGTTCTCTTTTGATATTGCGTTGGCTTTTGAGCTTACTGGGGATCTGGTATTCAGCATGCAGCCTCAGGTTTTGTATCTTCTTGAGCATGGCATCGACGTGCTCTTCTACCAGGGTAATTTGGACCTTGCTTGCAACACCGCAGGGAACTTGCAGTGGGCTAGCACGATGCAATGGAAAGGCCAACCTGCTTTTGTCGCACAGCCAAAGAGGTCCTGGGAACATGAGGGCAAGGAGGTGGGGTGGTTTAAACAAGTCAAGACAGTGACTACAAGCGGGAGAGAGACCACGTTTGCGTTCGCTACGGTAAATGGAGCAGGCCATCTGGTACCGATGGACAAGCCGAAGGAAGCGCTGGCGCTGGTTGATAGATGGATCACGAAGAGGAGCTACGCGTAATTGTCGCGTGATAGATACGTATTGTGTTCTGCGCAAGGCCGCACTTAGCTCAGCAAAGGATTCCGCGATCGCATTATCGAGGCATGCAATTTTCGTCAGCCCCAGTACCATATCGGCTTCATGCATGTCATCAGGCTTCTTGCGTTTGGCGCCCGAAATATCCATGGGTTGGTGTTTGTTTTCCCCACCATGATGTAATTGCTACCAGCTACGTCATCATGGGTCCTAGCCTCTGCGCAAACTTCAGACCCTTAATAAAGAGGGGAGAAGACACACTCACCCAACAACAAACACAATCAATTGCCACTTCTCACTTCAAACTACACTTTACAAACCTTCCACTTCTTCCCACTTCCACCAACACACACATACAACATGTCTGGAACTTCCAACGTCGGTAACAGTGCGGTCTACGAGTCCCAGGACCAGGTCACCCGGTCCAACGCCGAGATCGAGCAGGAGAAGAAGGAGGCCCGCTTCCACGAGGGCAAGGAGCACTCTCACAAGGCCCAGGACTCCAGTATGTTCCTCTCGGCCTCGCGTGCATTTTCCTCAGTCGACATGCCGCGTCATCAGCCATCTCTTTACAAGACCGTTCACTAACAATCACCCGCAGAGGACGAGCGATCCATCGCCAACAAGCTCGAGCGCGAGGAGAAGCGTGAGAAGGAGGGTGAGGAGAAGTCTCTCGAGGACCGCCAGCGCGAGCAAGATGCCACCCTTCCCGCACGCGCACACGGCAACGAGCCCTCCAAGGGAGCCAAGATCGACCAGGAGCTGAGGGAAGAGGACGAGGCTATGCTTAAGAAGAAGGGTGCCAACTAAAGTCGTTGTAATGAATGACGATTTCGATACCCCGCACACATACTCAGCGTGTTAGGAGTTGGAGGAGGAAAATAATGACTTGGATTGACGATAAAACGTCTCCATGAAGCCCGCCTGAGACACGGCAAAGGCACGAATCAAATAATTTCAACTCAACATTTATTGCCAACAGTGTGTGACTGTGAGATGGTGGAAGCCAGGTCCTCGTGCCTTGACGCGAGAGCTCTCCACATTGTCGTGCTTACCCCTCGGTGCCTGACTCGTGCAGCCTCGGAGATACGCCGATGGCGACCTCATAACCGCTGCCTCCTGTCTCCAAATCCCCAATCGCCTCCCCCACGTCCTGCAATCATCAGTTGCTGCATTACAAAGCATTGCGGCGTACATGCCTAATCTCTCGTCATCTCGCCAATTCCTCCGCACTGCTACTGCCTTCGCCAAAGCTCCCCTACGGCCCCGCGTCACACCTACAAGTGCCCAGCTATCGAACATCCTCCAGCAACATACCGCAAACATGTCGACAAAGATGGCAGAGCGCCTAAAGGGCAAGACTATCGTCATCACCGGTGCTTCTTCCGGCATTGGCAAGTCCACAGCAATCGAATTCGCCCGGACACAGCCCGACGACCTCAAGCTTATCCTCACTGCGCGGCGAGAAGACACATTGAAAGAGGTCGCACAGGAAATTCAAGGCTTTGCAAAAGGCGTCAAGGTCCTGCCAGTCAAACTTGACGTCAGCAAGCCGGACGAAGTCCAGAACTTTGTCGGAAACCTACCACAAGAGTACAAGGACATTGATGTGCTCGTTAACAACGCGTATGCCACCGCCTCCTCGAATGTTTTATACCGTTTGCTAACATCCAACCCAGCGGCCTTGTAAAAGGTGTTGCGCAAGCTCCCGATATCTCGCCCGCCGATATCGACACCATGTTCAGTACAAACGTAACCGGCTTAATCAACATGACGCAAGCCATCCTACCCATCTTCAAAGCGCGATCCACACCCTCCGGCGACATTATAAACATTGGTAGTATCGCAGGTCGCGAGCCCTACCAAGGCGGATCCATCTACTGCGCTACAAAGGCTGCTGTGCGCTCCTTCACTGATGCCATGCGCAAGGAGCTTATCGCTACACGGATACGCGTCATCGAGATTGATCCTGGACAAGTTGAGACAGAATTCAGTGTAGTCAGGTTTGGAGGCGACAAAGAGAAGGCGAAGAAGGTCTACGAGGGCGTTGAGCCGCTGACACCGGAGGACATCGCAGAGGTTGTGGTATTCGCTGCGGGACGGAGGGAGAATGTGGTGTTGGCTGATAGTCTGATCTTCCCAAACCATCAGGTATGTGCAACCGGAGGAACGAGACATAGTACACTAACGTTGTATAGGCGGCAGCGACAGTCATGCACCGGAAACCTACCGGTCAGTAGATGCGGCGATCGATGTGTACATAGCGACTACTTATGCGCAGTTCAGAGACGAAGCAAATATCCAGAATTCGACCTTTGTTATGAAAGACCTGTTTGCTGGCCACGATCTACCTCATGTTTCATGCTTGCGACTCCATCTGTTCCCGTCTCCTCACAATGTCTCTCCCTTCTTAATTCTTGTCTCCACATTCACGCGGACTGTCTTCGGAACAGGTGGAAGATGAAAATATAGCCTGGGCCCCGCCCCGCCGTTGCTGTGGTGAGCGCTGGCAAAAGAGAGACCCGCTTCTGGATAACTCAAACGCTCACACAGCTTTTGTACACACCGACCCCAGTTGTACCCCACTATAGTGGTGAGCGACCACGCCTTTCGTCCCACATCATCTCGACACTCAACTTAAGTAGCTGGCCATCATGCAAGCCGCGCGCGTTTGAGCGCCGGGTCTTCTACCACCACGGACGGAAGCACAGCGGTCAACCGACAGACAACATGGCGCGACTACGAGTTCCCGCATCGCCAGTTGAAACTCGTCGCGCGAATTATGCCCATGAAGGAGCCGGGAACAAGACGCCCAGCCAACCTAATCATTCAGGCCCACAGCCTGAGATCAATGTAGCCTTCGATTCGTCTGCCAATGATCCCCCTGAACATCCCACTTCCTTTCCGCGCATTGTAAGGAGCTTCGCGTTAATGGACGTGAAGACAAAGCGAGATGTACAAGGTTACGTTGTCGGACAGTACAAGGCCATTAAGCAGATGGGCCACGAGCACATCACCGCGACTGGCACCAAAACTGTCTTCTTCCTTGGTCAAGCACAGCAAGAGGAAGAGTTCGATATATTAGACGAGGATATGAAGACTGACCTGGGCGAGTACGTCAACGAGGATGAGGATGCGGATCGCTCATGGCGTGGGGTTTGCGACTTCATGCAGAAGATTCCGACCTCCAAGGCTGTGGCGTCGACAGAGTTTAAGGATAAGAACATTTTGGATACTGAGACACCTCATCAAGCCCGCTTAATGCGCGCCCAGAGTGCGCCCTCTCTGGCTCGATGTATCGCGAATGCTAGCTTTGACGGCGCCGGATCAGAGACAGACTCTGACTCAGAAGACGACGACATGGATCTTGAACTGAAGATCGAGAACGCACTCTCGTCATTTGCTAGAAAGGTCGAGGAATTAGAGGATGTAGCAGGAGCGCTGTCAGTCACGCCACCCGGCCGCACATATCCTGATGCTCGTTCATCTACACCATCGCCTCCCAAGGACATTGATATACCTTACCCCTGTGGACCAAAGCAAAACTCTCGACTTCGTCGGCATAGCGGTAACCGTTCACTCGCATCATTGATCGCTCACGCCGAGGGCCACCGCACGCCTTCGTGCTCGTCACCTTCTGCTTCGCTCTCTTCATGCCCACTACCTGCCGGTACCACCTACAATCTCGTCCGCAAATCCTGCTACGACCCAAACTTTGAGGGTCACAGCCCTTGCGCCACGTATGATGAGGGAATTTGGGGACTTTCAGCGGATGACGCTCTGTACATGCTACAAGAGCGCTTTAGAATAACACATGGCGCTGGCGACGGCACAGGCTTTGATAGTCGCGAATGGCTGGAATATAAGCTTGAGACTGGACGCAGCATGGTACATGGCCCGTCGCTGCTACCATTTGGGACGAACTGCTATGAAGCTGAAAAGCCCAGGCAGATCAAGGACGCGGATGATACCCCGTACGCTAATCGACCCGAAGCCACGGCTCAGATCCGCACTTTATCTTCTAAGGATACCCTGAACACTAACTCATCCGTCCGGAATTCAGTGTTCTCAAAATGCACTTCGAGGACTTCCATTTCGTCTTACCGGACCAACCGTCCACGGTCTGCACGAACTGAACATTCTCGGCTTATGAACGCACTTGGCCCCGACAACGATACTGGAAAGTGCGGACATGGCTATGAAATCTCTGCGACTACAGGGTGCAGCTCTTCTGTCGCAGGTATTGTTCCAAAAAGCGAACACTTTCAAGGTTGTGCAGGTGGCACTGTGCGGGGTGGGAAGGGTACACTCAGTCCACCTATTACCACTACCAAAGAATGGGCTAGTGGGCTGCGGACGTGGGAAGATGAAAGCTGGCTCAACGCACCCGAACGCATTGGAAACGACTTTGAAGACGCCCAGAACTCTATCACGAGGAATGAATCCGAGGACTGCGACGTAGAAGAGCTCTCACAGCTACGTGCGTCGCTAACGGAAACTACGGACAATGACGAACCCATGCGGCCTGAAGTTATCGCCAACCGCCCGTATACGGCTCCGCTTGTGTACGAGGAAGCCGCCGATTTTATTGAACATGTCGCCACTAATCCGGATGTTCATTCCGAATGTTGGTCAGAACCCTTGGATGGTTGCGCGAAACCGCGTCGCAAGTGGACTAGCAAGATGAAGCATTGTCTCAAGAAAATACCCCAAAACACAAAGCAGGCTACCCACGGCTATGTCAAAGCGACGAAACGATTCTCACGGACTGCTTGGCGCGTGTTGCCAGCTGCGCTGTCGAGCCGACATCCGTTCCAGAAGATCGACAGCATCCTCTAGATGGTCGGCTGGGGAACTGGGTCTGCGTCGGAACTCTTTAGGTGATCCGACTGGTCTCACGGACCGTTCACGCTGCCTCCGCAATCCACCCGGAACGATGGTTCGGCGAGCGTTTGGGCCCACTTCAGACCGAACATATGTTGGGGACATGGTAGATGCGTTGGAATTGATTGGATAGCCCCTGTGAATCGCTTTTCATTGGACGACACAGACATATTTTGTAGAGCATCTTTGCTTTTACTTGAATTCTCTTTTGGCGCGCTATGAACCCTCGATTCTAGATACCCACCTGCATGCATCAGTAGCATTTCCTGTCTGAATATAAGCCCTGCCATGTGCCCTCATTGCACTTCAAGCATTTTGTGTGAATTCCAAAGTGTGGTCGTGAATGACTAAGTCCACGAGGAGTGAACCCTGGTTTGATCAAGGGTCATCCACTGTCGCGACGTCACCACACAACGCTCTCACTTGCCAAAATGTCTTCGGTTTCTCATTCTTTACAAATTTCACTACTTAGCTCGCTCGTCGTTTCCCTCTTTACGAACGACTGCGCATCGACCACCACCGCGGACATTTACAACGCCAAGACTGCGTAAAATAGTGGACTCTCACCATTGCACACCCACGAACAAATTTGCAACTGTCTGGTTCACGTCACTCTTTCCATCACATTATCGCGTAGTTTCAACCGCACTGCGATCTCGCCAGCCATCACTGAACTTGATACGTCGACGATCTCCAACCCTTCGATTAACACTTACGATCACCAAACCAAAACAGTCACACAAGACATCATGGCTTCCGACACAGTCGCTAGTGTTAACCAGAAATTCAACTGGGCCGACGACGACGAGGACGAATTTGACTTGGATAGCTGGAATGCTACCGCCGACACCTCCGCGCCCACTGCCGCCGAGCTAGGCCCTCTCCAGGTCGCTCCCACTGGAGATGACACGAAGGAAGGCGAAGTCTACACGCTATCCCGCATCTCCAACGAGCGCGCCTATTGGTATCCTCCCGCCATCCAGGAGTCGTCAGACGCGGAGCCTACCCAGGAGGCAGAGGCAGAGCCAGTTGTTGAGCCGCCAGCTGAGCACTGGCATATCGCTGTACTTGGCTGCAGTCCAGAACACCAGGTCATATCTGCGCGGTACATCCTTATCACGCACGCTATTGGTCCTTCTTATGAAGGTAAAGAAGAGTCCGACGTCCCAGCCTATCCAGAATTGAGCGAAAACCCTGGCCACCGGTCTTACTATGCGAGAGGGTTCCGGGACTGGAAGATGAAACATAGAGGTTTTTCTTCTAAAAGGGTCTATCGTAATTCGCCCTTGAACATCGTCACTTCCATCGACAATGCGCACGAGATCGATGACATTGTCGATCCCGAAGAAGGGGCGGTAGAAGACGCCAATCGCGAGATGAACGAGGAGATTGATCGCATGATTGATGATCAAATCACCAACCATATTGATCAGTTCCAGTGGTTCTCCAGGACAGAACTTGAGAACTTTTACCACCAGTTTAAGGCTCAGGAGCAGAAAGCCGAGACCGGAGACGACGCGTCAGATGATGATGATGATGATGATGATAGCGATTCGGACGACGGCTGGGATGAAGAGGCTTACGAGCCATACAACGGTCCTCTTCACGACGAAGAGAAGTCGCCTACAACTACTGAATCAGTGGAGGACAACGAAACAATGTTGTCGGCCACCCGCCCATTCGCCGCCGCAGACAAAGAAGAGGAGCTGGACTTCAACGACGTCGTATTTGGAGACGATGACAGGTGTGATCAGTCGCAGAGTCAGGATGAAACCGACTCTGAGCCCGGCGATGAGGGCTATGTTTCCTCTTCACCACCAGACACTCCTTTTTTCGAAACCTTCAATAAAGCGGACAGCGTACACGCGCAAAACGCCTTCAATTCCATCAATGCGCGACTAAGCATGTCATCCTGGCGCCGCAAGACGATTTGTCGGACGGTATCCATGGACGCGCTCAAGACGTTTAGACAAACTGCCAAGTTTGAGCAACGAGTCGACGACGCTTTTGAAGATGATGAAGACAACGAGGACTTTGAAGATCTACAAGAAAACTTCGACATCGATGATGAGGTAAAGACATCATCGGATACCATGGAGAACACAGAGTTTGTCCTCGTCGTTACACCACCCGAGGATGAGCAAATCACGCAAGACTATCCTTCCAGCCCTGCGACACCTTTATCTTCAACAAGAGCCACTGTATCCGATTTGACTGAAGAGGATGACCAAGTCATTTCTGTCAAAGACGAATCACGCGGTACCCTCAATTCAGCCTTCACCTTCCCTAGCATATCCGCTAGTGAAGCCTCCCTCCCAAAGGAAGATGTTAGTACCGCAGACACGGCAATCGACACTTCCAAAACCTCCTCCCGGCGCTGGACCGATCCTCCAAAATACGACACCACCCTTTCTTCAATTTCGCCATTGTCCAGTCGTCGGCATACGAAGCATGCAAAGCATAGCTCTGTCTCACTGGACTATGTTGTCGGCGCCGTCTCAAAGAGCTGGCTCTACGTGGGCCAAGTGCCCTGGACGCAGATTGGTATAATGGGCGCTGGAGTAGTCGCCGGTGGATTATTAAGCATGGCGGGGCGTACCTGAGCGAGCCCGCTCTTCCTTTCTGTTTGTTCTTTTCTTTTCTCAAAATTTGGCTGCAAAGTTAGCGGAGGCGAAGTTATGCTGGCATTACTGGTGGCGTTATATACCCGGTGTGCTGTTCACCCACACATAATATGTGTCTCAAAAAGTACAAAAGTTAAACATTAATCAAGAAATTTATCACTATACTACGAATCCACCAAACCGTGTGACCGCTCCGACGATGTCACTATATGCAAGTACCATTTATAAAGTAGAAGTTCAATACTCAAGTCACAGTTGATATCCTTAACAAAGCGAATGTCATTTGAGAGCTGCTGTATCTACATCTGACTCACCGCCTTCAGAGCGACTACCCAGACATCTCAAGCATTACAAGCAAGCTTCCCCCTTGCTTAAACGGGGTGTGCGACCTTCGCCGTCAACAAGCCTCTAATATTTCCAACGAAGAAGCTCAAGATGAAGCAAGCACCACCAAAAGCGATCGAGATCCAGTATGGCCACCTGTATGCCAACGCAAAAGCTTCTTGGGAAGCACGCAGGACAACAGGGAATGCATCTCTTTGCAGCACTTCCTGGTTGGTGGCAAAGATCTCCTTGACTTCATCGAACCTAGCATTACCCATGAGGTTGGTAACGAGGGTGATGACGGCGATTCCGTCGGCCGACAGAGGGTTGATGATGGCGCCATACGCTAATGTCTTCTCCGCGACAATTTCAGTGAGGTGGATGGTGACCTTGCGGAAGAAGAGGTTGGAGTAGACTGCGAAACCAATCGCACCACCGAGGTAGCGGATACTGAGTGTGATGGCTGTAATTGTTGCGATTTGTTCATCCGGACAGGCGATCTGCGCGATGATGGAGGAAGGAATAATGACCCCGCCAACTCCAATGGATGCTAGTGAGATGAGGGCGTACACTACGTTCAGGTTGTCGGGTGTCGCAATGCACATGGCCCCTGTGCCGGCTGTCATCATGGCCGTGAAGAAGATCATCAATTCGCGGATGCGACCCTTGGTGGCGGGGATGAGGACGAGGCAGATGCATGCACCGCCGATGATGCCGAAGCCGATGGGAAGAGAGCGGATTCCGACGCCAACCGGGTCATCACCTAGAGTTATGTTAGTATGGAAGTAGTGGGAGAGATGTTCTTGGTCATGCTTACCATAGACGTTGTAGATTTGAGTAGGCCAGAAGAGCAGCAGGACGAAGTAGTTACCACCACTGAGGAATGTGATAAGAAGGATAACTATCATGGTCTGCTTCGCTTTGTGGAAGATTGCCCTGGGAACCATGGGGTGTGGAGCATACACCTCCCATACGAAGAAGGCAATGATGAGGATGATGCCGAGAACGAGAGGCACGATGTTATGTGGGCTGCCCCATTCATACTGTAGAGTGTCAGCACTGCAATGTGACCTGCTTCTGATAATATGCTGACCTGTGATGCACCCCATTGTAGACCCATCATAAAGAGAGTGATACCACATGTGCTCAAGATGCCACCAATGTAGTCGACCTGGCGGAGGACATGGCGGGCGGTGTACTCTTCCGTCAAGCGCGACGGGTCCTTGTAGCAGAAGACACAGAGTACCAACCCGATGAAGTTCCATACACAAACCAAAATACCATTGTAGCGCCAATTGCTCTGTTGAGCGATCAATTGAGCCCACAACACTGATGGGCAGAAGGGAAGGATGGTGATCACGACAAGACCGACGTACTTGCCGCGATCCTTGATGGGCACGATCTCTGCTGTACCGGCGAGTGCGATGAGCTCATTGAGACCGGCACCAATTCCCGAGAAGACCTGACCGGCTACGAGTCGTTAGGTTTGTGATGTTTCAAATAAGGTTGCGGTACTTACCGATAGCGATGTTCATGGTATGCGCAGTCACTGTGATAATCGGCCCGACTATGAGGCACAATTGACCCACAATAGCCACCTTCTGTCGCCCAAACAGGTCGGACAACGCGCCCACAAAAGGACAGAGAGCCGCATTGGGGATGAGGTATCCGATGACGAACCAAATGTATCGATCAACTCCACCAACGTCCTGATAGATGAGCGGAAGAACTGAGCCAAAGAGGAAGAGCGGGATCTGAGAGCCGATCCAGAGGAATGACATGCACAGAAGCGTCATGGCTAGCCTTGCGTTCATCTAGGGGTGAATTAGTATATGATCAAGCATTCAGGGTCTTACACTCACCTTCTCGTGAACTTCTGGAGCTCTGCTGGTAATGGGCGCCAACTGCTGCTTCTCGGGCTCGCTAGGCGGGGTGCGAGTAGCCACCATCTCGAGTTGGCTCTGGCCATTCTTGTCGACTTCGTAAGAGTGGTCTCCGGATCTCATCGTCTCATGCATCTTGACGGTGCAAAGCTGGGTGGAGGTGCAGTCGTAGAGAAAGAAAGTTCGGGACGTTCAAGTAGTTTAATGATTGTCCTGCCCTAGCAAGGCGGACTATCGATACGTCGTCCTAGTCCCCATACCATTCCCTCGTTTCTCACCTGGCACTGAGATGAATTGACTGAATCGACACTAAGTTCACTCGAGCCGCGGTAACATACTGGCCTGCGCGGGGCTGGGTGGTCGGATGACTAGGGTCAAGACACCCCTCATCCAACAAGGCTGCGCCAACCATGCCGTCTCGCCCGTTTGTAGAGCTGTAGATCATAGTGAAGTGTGTGGCGTGCCATTCGACGGGGCCCCCGCACCTGGGCACGCCTAATTGCTAGTCGCGCTAGCGTCCGGAGCATAAAGCTTGCATCATTGGTGCGGCCGGCACGCTTTTTCTCCTTTACATGAGGCTTGCCTCTTGGCTCTCTATTCCTCGATGTCTTTGGAATAGCATTGTCCCGTTTGGCTTCCTGAAGACCTCAACGAAGCCCTTCGTTCGAATGCTCTTTGTTGGCCCTGATGCCCAATCATGGAAATCTAGTAGTCGCGGTAGTGTCTGGTGTGACAAAAGGACGTGGGCCGTGGAATGTGACTCTTATGAGTGCTAGGAAGGACGTCGTGGGAATGTTGGCACAATCCTATCGAGGGCGGTCCTTGAGCGCTTGCAGGATCCTTAGGTAGCGCCCAGTGCGATGGGTGGTGTCGATCGCTTCTAGATGTTTGATGCACCAAGCCACAGAACGGTATCTGGAAAGTTACCGAGGAACTTTGAGTTACTACTGTGTGTGCCTTCGATGACATAGGTATTGGCATGAGCCACTGCCACGGGTGCACGTGGGAACTACGCCTTGACAAGGCCTCCACTATTTAGGCCCGGCTGACGTTTGTTGCGCACTTTACTGCCATGGTTTTATATAAAGTGGTTTCGCGTCTGTGATAGAAGTCTGATTAGGTTCTCGCCGTGCTCGACCATGAAAGTAAATCGTGGAAGCGCTGTTCTAGGTGACGTCGCGAAACCGCAAGAACAATTGGGGCCCCTCCAGAGTCGGTTCTTCCTCAATATGAAATTCTTGTCGCAGGTATTGAGGTGTGTGGCCAGGCGCTTAACTAGCAACACACTGTCAATTTAGTCGAATGGCCACACGTGGACGCGGTTAACCTTCCGCGCAAAAGGCGGTGATGCGACAGGCCATGAGACGCTCGCAACAACCTTGGCAGCTGCGTAAAGTTGAGTTGGAATCATCTTCAATGATGACATCAGCTAGGATTGGAAAATCCTATGCTGCGTTGCCAGTGTTACTCTGCTGCGTACATAGTGATCTTCAAACCCTAGTCCGCTCGTTGAGCCAGACATCATGCTGCGATCAGAGAGACGACAGATAGCTGATACATTGACTGTAAAACCCGCACATGCTGCCTTTTTTTCATGTCGTTAGGCTGGACTTTTGCCGAGGCATGAATTAAGCTTGGTGCTCTGGTTCTGCCTTGCCTAGAGGTCTGACTGTTGTATCCTTTAGGACGGGAGCCTACCAGTGACTCCGGGCCAAGATCCGTGGTGTTTGCATCGATACTGTGTATAAGCCAGGACCGGTACGTGGGAACCTGGGGTAGCCTACCCACATCACGGTTCACGGATCACCTAGCCAGTGACAGCGAGCGATGGTCGCATCGTCGAAAAGAGACATCTGCACAGTACTTAGAGATTTCCAGATGAGGGATTTGAGGGAATTGAAGGCCAGTAATATCTGCGAGAACGCTCGTAGTGTTGAAGCTTGACATTCGACCAGATAGGAATGAAGACACCAGGACCGGGAAGAGCCGCACTGGGCTGCGCTACAGCGCAAGAAGGCTGCGTTGTAGATTTGTCTTGGTACTTCCTGCGGACTGAACGATAGGTAACAGCTAGCTCCAAGCTAAAGAAGGGTGTTTGCCCATAATGGTAAATGCACTTGATGATTTGAGTGTCTGGCAGACCTGGTTTTTCTCCTCGGCTTCTCTGCGCCTTGTAGCAAGCCTGGTCGTGAAGTTCCCCGCATGATTCTAAGAAATATGAACCTGCTCAATAGGCCGTAGGCAGCTTGACAGACATGGGAGGTCGACGTTCGAATTGCTGCCCGTCCAGCTTCTTCACTGGCAAGGCCGCTAATCAGGTTTGGGCGGCCTTCTTGTTTTTTGTAGCTGCATCGGAGAGACAATGGTTCTTAGATGAGCTTGAACCGGGCGTTTTCCATCGATGATTACAATGGAAGGTCACTTGCGAGGTCGTTAGAATGCGAAGAGAAGGAAGCCACGATTAGCGTCTTGGCGCTGCCCCTCTTGCGCGGACGCAGGCACCGCTCCCCCCAGCGTACATCACCGTACCCATACTCCGGTAATGTTTTTCGCGATTATATCCGCGGACGGAACGGCTACATCTTCCTTCAAAAGCCCAACAGTCTGGTTCTAAAGTTTTGTTGCCAGATGCATTTGCATCGCTCTTATCTCGGATACGTGTACTAACAAGCTTGGAAATGTTACAAGGGCTGTAACACAATCTGAATAATACGCATCAGTGCCTACTTCGCCTTTGATATCCCGCTTGATCGAAAGGATTGATGCTCCTCGGACAGACGGTCATGGTGACTCAGAACTCAGCACAGGCGCCAGACACGACTTATTTCTGGCGGAAATGGCATTGAACTTTAGTAGGGTAAAGTTTTGCAGATTCGGCCCTGTGTTAGATGAAGAACTCAGACTGCTCAATCACCTTACGCATCGATAACGATACGACCTCGATCGGTGTATCATGACGGGAACGGCCGATTGATCGGTGGAATTCCAGCCATTCCCGTGGTTCAGACGTCGAGCAAACTTGACTAATAGCTGTTCGCACGGTTTCTGTTGCATTAGCTGCCAACTGCTGGGGTCTGAGTTCCGAAGTGAGAGTGCCGTTTGATGTGTGTTCAAACGTAGCAGATGGTTTTGATGTTTGGTGTGCTAATCAGACCCTGGAACTGCGTTCGCGGCATCTTCTCCGCCCGAGCTTCAAGCTGATGACGACAACCGCGTCAGCTATCCCCCGTCTTCACCCCGAACGCCAGACACGCGACAACAAACCAACCTGGGCATGAAGGTCGCACCGTTCGGAATTCGGAATGACTACCAGTGCATCGCGCGCGCAAATGGCTGACTCGTGCTCACCGCAAATAGCGCACCTGTGACCATGAGCGGCTAGCCGTGACTGCGGGGTGCACGCCCTTCGCGGACTCAGCATGGGAGCAGGCATGGGACTTGTGACTGTTCCTGCTCTTCTTTCTTACCTTGCAGCTTTGGATAGCATGCATCCTCTACAACCACCGCCACCGCCGCCGCCATGACAGAACACCGCCTACCGGTCAAGCAGCTGGCCATTCTCTGTACGTCCGCTCGACGCGTCTTCACCTGCAAGCTTGCTAACTTCGCGACAGCACTATGCCGGTTTGCCGAGCCCATCGCCCTCACGTCTGTCTTCCCCTACGTACCGGAGCTCATGGAGTCCTTTGGCATCCCCAAGAATGACATCGCGCGCTGGGCTGGTATCTCGTCCTCGGCCTTCTCGCTATGTCAGGGCTTCACTGGCCTCCTCTGGGGCGCTGCATCCGATCGCTACGGGAGGAAACCGATTATACTTTTTGGCCTTACCAACACCATGTGGTCGATGTTGCTATGGGGCTTCTCGCTCAATCTGCCCATGGCTTTGGCCGCACGCGCTATCGGAGGACTATCGAACGGGTACGTGGGCATCCTGCGCACTACGGTGGCCGAGCTATGTCCATGGAAAGAACTACAACCGAGAGCGTTCAGTGTCATGCCTCTGGTCTGGACAGTTGGTGCCACGTTTGGACCTACACTCGGTGGAGCCTTGGCCAATCCTCTCCGCGTAGATCCTCGCAAGCCTAAGGGCACCGCTTTTCTGGAGAGATTCCCATATTGCTTGCCCAATATCGTGGCTGCTGCATTATTCACTTTTGGCATTTCAGTAGGCTGGCTGTTCCTCCAGGAGACCCTGGAAAGCAAGAAGCATGCCCCAGATCTAGGCCTGAGAACTGGGGCTCGGTTGACAGCATTTGTTCGCAAAATACTACACCTTCCAACCAAGAAGCAGAACAGCAGTTCAGAGCACGAGCCTCTACTTGGTCAGCGTAAAGCAATCGACAGCGAAACGATGTCGCAACATGATGCTGCTCATGAAATTCTCCCAGAAAAAGCACCAAGGTATCGGGACGTATTGACGTATCAGACATCGCTCAATCTGATTGTGTACACGCTACTCGCTATGTACCTTCAGGCATATGATCAGGTGCGTGATTTTGTGCGCCTACTAAATATTGATATTGATCCAGTGCAGCTGCTTCCAGTGTTCATGCATCACCCTGTACAACTCGCAGACGACCCTACGGTATCCCTTCCTCTGAAATTTGCAGGAGGCTTCGGAATTGAATCCCGTCGCATCGGCATCATTTTTACCGTATTCGCCATCTCATGCACAGTGTGTCAATTCCTGCTGTTCCCACCCATTGCGCGCTATCTCGGTGTTGTTCGCTGCCTTCGGATCGCCTTTCTCATCTTTCCGTTTGTGTTCTTCGTCACACCGTTCCTGTCACTTATCCCAGATCCAGTCACTAGGGAAATCGCCATGGTAATGCTTTTGATGGTCAGAGGCCTAGCTGGCACATTCTCGTTCACCACCAGCACAATCATGCTCACGAACAGTGCGCTTAGTCTACGTGTTCTAGGCACCGTCAACGGCCTCGCTACTAGTTTTAGCTCTTTTGGTAGAGCGTTAGGTCCTACTTTAGGGGGCGGCTTGTTTACTTGGGGTGTCAAGCGCGGCTATGTCATTGTACCTTTCTGGACGATGTCTGCCATTGCGCTTGCTGCCTCTATACCAACTTTCTGGCTAGTCGATGGTAAAGGGTTTGGAGGCGACGAAGATATCAACGACCAGGAAAACATCATCGAGACAGAAGAAGAAGTGGTTGAGAATGACGCACGGGTGCCTCCAACAGCCTGGCAGCAAGATGAAGCAGCGTTTTCCGAGTCAGAATTTGGCGACTTTGGTGACCCACCAAATATCCTGAGTCTCACAACTACGCGATCGAGCGTGGCTATGGCCTCTGATGATGAAGACAACGCTTCAGTATCTGTGGGTCAAGGGCAGTCGATGAATCCTTTGGAGGCGGCAAGAAGTCATTCGCAGACCAGACGACGAAAGACTGTAAGAAGGACGTCATCGATACCGATTGGTATGGGTAAGGGATTCAGGCGATATAGCTCTAACCTAGGCAGCACGGGTATCGGCGGAGGCGGTGCTAGCTGGGGAGGCGCATAAATCTGGACTTGGGTGGGAATATGTGCATTACTGAGTATTTTGAGAAAAAGCATTAACTCATGAGTTCATTAAGCGCATCGATCTCGAGTTACTCAAGCTTCTTGTGTCAATCAAAATATTGCAGGTTATGTGCTAGATCTCAATACACATTTTCCGTCATCATTTGCACGAATGTGTTATTCCCACTGTACACGAAAGCGTTCTTGGGTTCCTTGACCATCATCTGAAGTGGAACCAAGAATGTCTCTATTGATCACGACAACAACCATGAGGTGATGAGTGTGCACGATGTAAGATGAGTAAGCGCAAATCTCGGGTGATGATGAGAATGGGAGAAGATTTCAATTACACTATACAGACTACTGATGTTTTGTCATCCAACCTGCGTACGATGTGTCGTAACCCATAATTTGATCGCCTAATCCATGAAAGACTGTATAACAACGCCCTGTACCACCGTATAACTAGACCATACCAGGGTATCTGATACTCCACGATGAACTCCACCCAATTTCCATGCAGTGTCCCCCGCGATACCTCCCTAGCCCAGACCCTATTAAACGATAACGTAGTCAGTGTCCTCATCCCAATCCCCAATGATATCAGCATCAAAGTCCTCGCTGAAGGAAGATTCGTCGGGAAAAAGACCCGATAGAACGATACGATGCAACGTTTCTCTTCGAAGTTTCTACGCAGCCATGCGGGGAAGAGTATGGTGCTCAGACTATGAGCCTTGGCCAACATTGTCCATACCGCCTCTGTTGGGCATACCAAAGGGATTCCTGTTATCGCTGACGGGTGTGCTGTCGTGCTTATTGATAGCTGCATTGATAGGGCCATTGATGCTCGCGTTACGAACGGGACCGCTCATGCTATTTCGCCCGTTTACGGGGTTGCCGTGGATGTTTTTGGGTACGCCGTTGTTGTTCATGCTGGGGCCGGGCATGCTGTTGTTCCGATTGTGGTTGTGGACCCCGTTTCCGTTGATTGCGACGGGAAGGCCGTTGGGCATGTTGTTATGCATGCTGTTCTCCAGGCCTGCGCTCATTGGGCCGCCCATCGGTGGACCCATTCTCACGCTCTCGTTGTTATCACCCATGTTGTCGACGTCGGGCCAGAAGCGCTCTTCTAGCCAACACATTTGTCGGAAGATCTCTTCGCAGCGCGACATTTCCTCTTTGCCATCGCGTGTAGTTGTGATGTTCGCTAGCTCATCGACGAGCGCGCGTGTCGCCTCGACGAATTTGCTGAAGGCCGGGGAGGTCCAGTTCGGTATTAGGGCTTGGTGGAGGGCGACGATGTGCGAGTCAGTGGAGGTGTTGGAGAGAGTATTGGAGAAGGAGGCGGCATATTGCCAGGCGGAGCGATAGCACTATCAGACATTAGCTTCGTGCGCCCATTACTGAGTTGGGCTGGACCTACATGTTCGCTTGCCCATAGCACGACCATACCCTCTAAAAGTGATGCGCTCGCACTACTCGCGCTCACGAGAAGATCAAGCATGGCGCGCGTGATAGGCGTAGGCGGTTCCATGCCCAGCGCAAGCCCATACTTGGTCGCGGTGATCTCGAAGAACTGCATCTCTCTTCGCATGTTGTTCAGCGCGGAGATGAGTAGGTCCATGGTGCGATACATGGGATGGAACTGCGAGTTCTGCGTCTGCGGCAGTCTTATCTTGGCCAAAAGCTGTCCTATGAAGCGAATGTAGCCTCGCGCATAGTGTCCGTCTTGTACCAGCCATTGCGACAGCGGTCCCGCTCCTAGCGATCCACAACCGGCATGCGATAGGAACGGTCGCTGTGTTGCTTGCGCAAACGGGCCCGAGCAGATGCTTAGGAGATGAGACGTCAGAGAAGGCGCAACATTGGGTGTCATGGCAATATTTGGCGCAATAGGCTGTCCATCGCGTGTGCGCTTACTGTTGGGACCGCGCCGATTTACTTGGAGGTTTGGATTTGGCTGCTGCCCACTCAGAATTTGACTGGGGCCCGGAGCCATGTTCGAATCCATAGGCAATCCATTCTGCTGAGGCGGCTGCTGTTGTTGCTGCTCCTGCGCGAGAAGATGGGCCTGCGCCTCGGGCGAAGTCAAGTATCGCTGGCAGTCTTGGAGATGCTCGATCTGTCGCGTTGTATTCTTCGCGCGCACGAAGCCGCAATGCAAACAGCGTACTTTGTTACATTTCGAGGGCGTGTCTTGGTCCTGAAACTCTTCAAATGCTCGCCTTATGTCAGGGTTGGCATGTCTGCCCATGGCGGCCTGCTGCCATGGTGGACGTTAGCCTCATGGCAGCACATGTCGTCGGAAAAGATACGGAACAAGTGGAGCTCACCTCGAATCGGGCTGTCTCGATGATGTGATGTGTATTGTGTATTGTAACAATCCGGGCGGGTAAGGTATCGCCCCTCACCGAGGCATGTTAGGCGGCTGCGGCGCCTTACCTCAGCCGACATTGCCCAGATGGACATGCCTCCTCCAAACGTGTCTCCGGCTGCACCTGCCCTGGAGGTGTTTGTAATTTTCTGGTTGAAATTGGCAGGGACTAAGTTGGGATACAGTTTGGCTAGGCATTAGACGTTGATGTGGTTTCACGTGGTCGACATGTGCGTATCGTGGGCATCGTTAGTAACCCGGTTCTGTTCGTTAGGTTGCCGCCAGCGCCTGTGCACGCGAAATCTTTCCGTAATTTCAATCGGCGGCCATGCAGCGCATCGAGAACGCCTCCGCGTGACTTGCACCATGCCTCTGAAACTAAGCATGCGCAACATTGTACGCCGAACCTCCAACTACTCGAGCAAGTACTATCGTCATCCAGTCGCCATGATGTGTTGAACTGTCTTGTCCCAAGTCACATGGCCTGAAAGCCCCCGAGGCCGTCACTACCCGCGCGGCGACTCTGTCTACCTTCATCACGCGACGTCTTGACCCAAACTTCACTCACGATGCTTCACACTACCCCACAAACCTATGCCGTCAGCTTAACTCGTTCCAGTAGTCCAACCCGCCCGCGCATCTCCGCACCCCATCGCACGATGTACTATGACTGATGACGCTGCGCAGCTAACTGCCACCTTGGTAGACTAACAGGCCGGCAGACGAATCCTCGTCGGGTACATCAACCTCAGCGAGCTTTGGGCATCCACGATGGTCACTAGAAAACTTCTGGCAGTCACACGCCCTCCCATGGCTCCGGCGATCACGCTCGTAGATCTACTGCCGACTTCGCCAGCGCCGGGAAAGGCATCGTGCCACCTTCCCCGCATCAGCCAAGCTTTTCGCGATCGCGCGCCGTTGCACGTTTATACCCGACAATCGTGTCTTGTCAGTAACCTGGTAACGACATCACTTAGGCAAGCTGCATATGCGTCCGGTGTGTCGGGGGCGAATCTCGTGACGTGCAGAAGAGGAAGTTGGCAATGTACGGTGAAGAAGATGTTTGCGATTGATGACGTCGATGCTTCTGGGGGCGGCTCATCCTCCTGCTGCCCTATTGGCAAGCCACACGGTTTGCCTCGCATGTTGGACACCACGGCACGAAACAACTTGCTTTTACAAATGAATGTCGCCTTTAGCCAGTTGGCAAGGCAGAGGTACCTGTCTCAGCTTCCAGGTACCACAGTCCTCTACATGTGGCAAAGATCACTGCCCACGAGAAGGCATGAGTCAGATAATGGCATCATACCTCCACCATGTTGGAAGAACTCCGGCCTCGTGGGCCTTTTGCCCGGGGACAGCGTGTTTTGCATGTGGACGTGTTGCCGATCACAGAACCACAACGAAGGTCTGCATTTGACCTTCCCCGCAACGGTGCCGCTTGCAGCCCAGCCTGCATTCCTAAGCCGCCCTGTGTGGACGAACCTACGACATCAGATGCTCAGTACATACCAAGGGTACTCCGTGAAGATATCGGGGAACGCCCGAAGCAACGTTACACGAACTTGGCCGCAACCGGATTTCCATGTTGTCGACCATGCTCTTGACAAGTCGGTGTTGGCAAACGCCAACTCACTTCCAAGAACCCACCGTCCACGTTCCGGTGTATCACCACGCTCCTCGGACGCGGTTCCAAGCTTCTCGAAGATCGTCTCCAACGCGTGAGCACCGCCTCGGAAGCTAAGTGGCTGAGACACGCCGATCCCCACATCATAGCCATCAAACAGTCCTCCAATCACCACGCTGTACCTGAATATCCCTTACAATTTCCGCCAAGCACCAACCCTGCATCTGACCTCTTTGATCCGCCTGACCCCAGATCTTTTGCTTTATGCTATGGCCTGCCGAGGCCCTCAGGGTCCATTTTACCGTAGCTTGCTGGCGGAACCGGTCTTTGTGGCGGTTGTCAAGCGGCTTGGGGTAGCTTCGACTTGCTTCCCCTATTGGAGCTGTTGCGTCACCGCGTCATTTGCCAGCGATGTCTCCGTGTCCGGAGTAAGTAACGATGTACACATCGTTCCGACACTGCTCGATCGCGACATGTCGGCGGTACTGCGGTTGGTTGCCTTGGTTGCCTTCCCCGACACCGCCCTAATGGTGGCCAGAATAGCTGTCGCGGCTAGCTGGGATAGAGCTCCGGGAAAGGAGATCATCCCTACGTCGTGAAGCAGCGAACACATGCTTGTATGGTGGGCATGACTGGGAAGAAAATTGGGGCGAATTTGTTGCTGTGTTGGCGGCTTGTGAGTCTTCGCTTTGTTCTGGTTAAAAGGAGATCCTTCCCCCGATGCCATGGGTCTGCACAAGTTCAAGTTTGGGTCCATCAGCTACACAACCTTTCCTGTACTCCTTTCGAGTACAATTGCATGTTATACGGCATTCAGTTAGTTGAGTAACAACACTCCTCATCTCAATATGATCGGATCCTGGACATCAGCGGCGGCCATTGGCCTACTTGCTCTGAGCACAAACGCATCTCCGCTCCTACCCATCAAGCGCGCACCCATGTTCGATTACAACAACCAGAAGGTCCGTGGTGTCAACACAGGCGGTTGGTTCGTTCTCGA